TAGGACTGGAAGGGAGCTCGAGAGGTCATAGAGTCCAGTCCCCTGCCCTCATGGCAGGACCATTCTTTGTTCTACAGGGTACAAAATGAATCCTTGCCAATGACAAATGCCATAATTCAATGCAAAGCTCAAAATGACCCACTGCTCTTGAAGGGTGTGTCATTACAAGGAATAGATGAACTTATGCACACAAACAGCTGTTCCCAGCTTTCTTTGCAGAATAGTTGTGGGTATATTAAGGTTTCTGAATACGTGGTAGCAGAGATTTTCTGAAGTTCAGGTTACCCACACTTCAAGAGTTACATGGATACTTTGGGAAGAGTAAAAATGGAAGTCCTTGTCAGAAGTTGTGTGTGGTGAACAGAGATTAGTACCTCAATGGAAGAAATGACAAAATAATGTAAACAAACACAACATATATCTAAACATGTTCCTTTTCATCCTTGGAATTGGCCAACCACCCTATGGTAATGGATTCACATGAGAAAATAGCCTTCATTTGCTAGATTTAATGACAGCATAGATGGTGTCACTCACCCAGATGTTCTTAATTATAAAGACATTTCCATTTCTGTGTGCATTTTTACATTAGCCCTGCACAAACTTATGTTTGGTCCGCTATAGACAGTGAAATTTATTCTTCTATGATCTTATTCAATACATGTTCAGGGGAACCCAGTTGCGCTCCAGTCACCTTATCCATCGATAAGCTAAGATGCAAATACGGAGTACATATGGCACACTGCTAATATTCACACTTTGGAGACTATAAGTAAGGTAGAAATGGAGCTGATAGAGCCATGCAAATCCATTGGTATCTGCTATATATCCCCGGGTATCTACAGCCTCATTGTTTCCTGTCTTCATCCTTCTTCGGAAGTTTCTGTACAGAAACCATATATACCAAAGTGCAAAAGTTTTGCTGCTGTGCATTCCCCAGAACTTCATCTCTCTCATGTTTGCAGGGAGACCCCCTCCATCAATAACATTTTTAATTGTGTTCAGCAATCAGCATTTTCTTCATTAAGGGCCTGATCCTGCACCACTGGGACCAAAGGGAGCTCTGACATTGAATTCACTGAATACAAGATCAAACCCTTGCTGAGTTGTAGGAATCATATCAGGGAAAAACTAGTAAAATATTGTCTTCTGTTTTAATTCATTTTCTTTTTTAGGAGTCTCTCCCTAAGTCGAGTATCTGTAAGAATCCCATTAAAGAAGCATTATATGCCTGAAATCTGATGAATTTCAAGAAATTAGTTTAAAACAGTACCAAACATGACCACTGACCCTTAGCACCCCTGCAATTTTTGTGGTTTTATAATCACATTGTCCTTGTTTAAAAAATGTTGTTCTCTCTCCTATTAGTATCTAAATAATTCCTCCCCCACAAAGGGGGAAATTAATACGTGACTCTATTTGGAAGAACCATTTTATGCACACAGTGCTGTCAAATGCACAAAGTAATCACACCGAGACAAATATTTGTCCTGCTAATCTTTCAGCTATAGTGACATGTCATCTTTTCAGAATACCAGTGGAAATCAATTTACTTTTGTATGTAACCAGCAGTGCTACTGGATTTGCAAAAGAATGGACGATATTGTAGAAAATTAAATTAATCTTTTGCTGTATCTGCATAACAAATAATATATACACTTAAAAAACATCAAATGGTGTGGTAGCACTTTATAGACTAACAAACATGTAGATGGTATCATAGCTTTCGTGGGCAAATCCCACTTCTTCAGATGACTGGAGTTTTGAGTTTAAGATGTGCAGACCCAAAATAAACTGAGGAAAAGGGGGAGGGGGAAAGGAACAAGGAGCAGAGAGTATGAAAATATCAAAGGGAAAAACAAGTAGGCAGAACTGGTAACCTATAAGCACCTAAAGACTGGATAGTTAAAAGAAGCAGATAAGGATCATAGGATAATATATAATTTCCCTTTGGGATTCTCACATTTTAGATTCTTGAGTCACACACACCAGTTGGTCCACAGGCCTTGTTTTGCTAGTCATCTTAATTTCCTCCATCTCCATCACCATCTTGCCTCTTGTTTTTTCCACATGTTGGTGAGGAATCTTCAGATTTTTCACTTTAATGCCCACCTTGGAGACCTTAAGAAACAGCACTTCCACTTTATGGTCAAGAAGTGGGAAATTGCTTCCCAGAGTGGATTACATTTTATCTGTTTTCTGTTTGAAAGCTTCCAGCTGTTCTCTAATGGAGAGCTCTCCTGCTGCAAAAGGTGAGGGAGGGGCAACATGTCTTGCAGTAGTTGTAATTGTATCCAATTCATTGGCACAGTGGGAAACAGAAGCCCAATTTATAGTAATTATTTTTACCTGTTTGTTTGGTGTCCATCTCTTGTACTCCCTTCCCTTTACCTCCCTCCCAATCTGACCAAACTCTGTTAAATCAGAACTCTCTCTTCTGTCAGCTCATCTGAGAATATCCTGAGCATTAGATAAAATGTGAGCAGGTAGAGGGCTATTGAACCTCTGGTTCATGACTAGCTCACGAACTGTCTTGGTTTGCTCATGAAAGTCTTATGTCTTGAATATAATACGACAGTGCTCGTTTTATTGTGTGTTTGAAGTGCCAGTTAAATAAACATAATTACATGCAGGGCTGATCGCACTGTATGCCCTGTCTCATGCAGTGCAAAAGATGGATCTGCTGGGGAAAAGTACTAGGGTTGCATATGGAAGGAGGCTGTTGTCTGTAGGGCCTCCTACTTGATTTGTGGAAGATGTAGGAAGGTGTGTACAGGCAGGCCCACCCAAAACTATCTGCCCTCCCCTCCACTAAGGGGGAGGAACCACTAATTCCAGGCTCTAGTTGATTATGAGGACACCAATCAGAAAACTCCCAGCAGCACCCATTGCTCCCCAAAGGAGTCCCAAGAGTCAGTGGTTACTGACCAGAGGAACTCTATCTGGAGATGTGAGCAGAGAAGGGACCAGAAATAGGCTCTACATTTGTAGAATATCTATCGTCCCATCCGGCTTCCTGCTCCTGGAGTGATGGGTGGCCAGAACGAGGTTGATGAGGAGCACAAGTGGTGGGTAAAGGTGCAGCTGAGCAAGACAAACTCCAGCCCTGCTCCTTTCGCCTGAGGCTCCATCCCCTCAGCAACTTCCTCCCCTCCCCCATGGAGCCAAGCCTGGCTCCCTGAACATCTCAAGGTCCCTTACTGTCACCCATCCCAGCAGTGACTCCACCCTTTCCTGGGGGCCAGAGTGCCTGGCAGCCAGAGACCAGGAGCAGCCACGGCACAGCCCAATCCTTTATGAGTGGCTGGGAAGATGGGATGCCATGCTGGGGCCCCAGCGCTGGTGGGTGGCCGGCTGCTGCACTGTGGCCAGCCCTCCCGGGTGGCCAGGAAACATAATGGCTACGTCTACACTGGCCCCTTTTCCGGATGGGAAGGCAATGACTTCTCTTACCTACATTACCTGCTGCCAATGATAAGGAGGTCTCACAACTTAATGGAGTCATATATGTGGTGTGCAAGGATCAGGAAGTGCCAGGAAATATACATCCAGAACCTCAGTAAGCAATTCTTCAGGAGCCAGAAGAGGGGCTGCAAGCTGACACACTCTACATAGAAGCGTGCCCAGGTCTCCCTCTTGACACAGAAGGGACAGGTGTTGTAGAAGTTCTCATGAGTCTATGCTCATACCTTCAGGAAGGAGCCACAACTAATATGCCCAGAGGGCCATGGGATGAGAACTGAGTACAGAGTGGCCTGCTGAGGTTCTGAGCCCTGTTTTATGGCCCCCTCTTGATGTGGTGGTGAGACACAACTGTGAGGGAGTAGATGGAGTGAAGCACAAGCTCATAGAGATGTTCTGAGGGTGTGGTCTAAAGGCCAAGTGGCTAGATGTTATGTTGCTGGCTCAGGTGACTATTGGGGGTGGCTTGTGGGGCAAAGGCCTACGATATGTTCCAGAAGACTGAGGTCAGGCCCACTGATAGGGAAGTCAAAGGGGGCAGTTGCCCTGGCACCTGGCTATTCAAAAGGGCCTGGTGCTCCTCGCAAACATTGCTGCGACTGTGGTAGCAATGGTGACCAAAGCCCTGGGCCCTGTAAAATCACCACCGGAGTGCTGGGCAAAATGCTCTGGGTGGCTCTGAGAGCTGTCAGGGGGCTGGCTGCCCCAGCTTTGCCCTTCCATCCAGGGTCCCGCCCCTTCCAAGAGTGTGGAGCTGCACCCCCCACACACCTTGCCCAGGGCTTGGGAAATTCTGTCGGTCACCTTGAGTGGGATGAGGGATGAGCAGAAGTACTCTACCAAAGGGCCCACTTGAAAATGAAAGAAGCATTAAGCAAGGCTGCTGTCACCTCCTAGAGCACACAACAGAGGTAGAAGGGTGTGTATGTATTGTGCGTGCTAGGAGATGGTGGGCTTAAAGACCATCCTCCTTATCTGGGGGAAAGGGCCAGTGGACCCAGGTCACAATTAAATGCTAGAGACAATAAATTAAATAAAAAGGACAAACATGAAAGCAATAAGGTAAAAACAGGGAACTGGAAAGAGAAACGGAGCAGAGAACACCTCTTCTCCTCATAGGCGTTCCAGGAGGTAGTGGACAGAGGAACTCTGCTCAGAGGCATGATCAAACAGGGGATAAGAAGTAGGCCCCACATTTGCAGAGCACCACACCATCCACCTTCCTTCTTCTGGCATGTTTGATAGCTATGTTGGCCAGCACCAGCAGGTTGATGAGATGGTCTCATATATTAATGGTGCCAGTGATATAGTGTGTGCGAAAATCAGGAGGTGCAGGGAGACGTGCAACCGGAACCTCTGACGTAGGTTCCAGAGGAGCTAGAAGAGGGACTGCAAACTCAGGCAGTCTACTCAGATGTGCACCAGGAGCTCTCCCTCTTCACAGAAAGGCTAGGTATTGGGAGAGTTCGTGAACCACATCAAGTACATGCCCACACTCATGGAGCCACAGAGGAACTGACAGCTGATATCCCCTGCAGGTCATGGGACTAGAATGGAGTACAGGCTGGCTCAGCGAGGTTCCTTGTCCTTCTCAGATGGCAACAGATCTTCCCACCTGTTGTCAGTGGGGGACACAAAGGTAAGGAAGTGGATGATATGAAGCATGAAGAGATGTTCTCTGGGTCTGGTTTGAGGTGGATATGCTGGATATTGCACAGCTGGTTCTGGGGACATCCTAGTGGCAGCCTGGGAGGTTTGCTGAGCAGGGCCCCATGACATGTTCCAGAGAGCCAGAGCAGAGGAGTAGGCAGGAAGTATCCTTGCACATGATCCACTTGAGCAGTATTTCTCAAAGTGGTCCATAGATCCACTCTGAGAAACATGCTAACTTGCTGCTCCAGTTTGTTTATTTACCAGCTCTGCAGTCAACCGTGGCTCCCATTGGCTCCAGTTCGCCATTTGCAGCCAATGGGAGCCACGGGAAGCAGCTGCCTGGCCCATGCAAAAGGTGGCCCAGTAAATAAACAAATCAGAGTGGCCAGTTAGCAAGTTTCTCTGAGTGGATCTGCGGACCCCTTTGAGAAACACTGTACTTGAGGAAAGTGAGAGAAGCAGGAAGCAAGTCTGTTGTCACTTCTGGGAGCACATGACAGGAGAATTAAGAAGGTTTGTAGTGAATGAGGCAGGGCATTGTGGGAAGAAAGAGGATGGACTCATGGTTAAGGCAGTTGAATGCAGCCCTGAAGAATTGTATTCTGTCCCTGTCTCTGATACAGATTACCTGTAGATTGGTGGGCAAGTCACTTAAACCAAACTTTTCAGAGGTGATCACTAAGGATATGTCTACAATGCAATTAAACACCATATCTTTCTGGTCTATGTCAGCTGACTCTTGGGGCTCATGCTACAGGTCTGTTTAATTGCAGCGTAGATTTTCTGGCTCAGACTGGAGTCTGGCCAAGCTATCTGACAGAGGCCAGCCATGTGTGTTTAACTGCCGTGTAGACATAATCTAATTGTGTGGTCCTTCGTCCTGAGTGCCCAGTACGTGTTCTAATTTGTTCACTGCTGAAGCTGAAGTCAATGGGAACCATAGTTTGACTGTACAAAGAGCTTTTTAAAAAACAGGTTTGAGAGACTACATTTTGAACAACAAAGAGAAAGCCAAATATTGAATAGCTGCCCCTCAAGTGAACATCATCCTTATTTTACACTAATGAGGTAAGGGTCCTGTGGAAAATAGTATATGATCATGTAAATTAAAGAGGGGGCCTGAACTAAGATTGCAAGATAACTTTCATTCTGATGTTTCCTAATTTATGAGCAGTTGACTCTGAAACCATAATAGTATTATTTTAGCATAGCTATATGCATGTGATAAAATGTATATGGTTGTTTTTAAAGCATACATTTGGGAGCTATTGAGTTGTCCCATAATTCACTAGATACAGTAATATGCCATTTTTCACTCATTCTCTGATGGTTTGCTTTTTATCTTAAGAAGGCCTGCTAACAGTTCATTTCAGCCAGAGTGATGAAGAAATGGCAAACTTTTGAAATAAATTCTTCAGTGCTTTAACTCTAGTAAAAAGGACTTCAGTGGAGTTATATCTGAGATTAATCTGGCACTTTATGCCAAATGCTTCATTCTTATTTTCCTCCACTACCTTCTGCATAGACTTACTGTATTTAGATATTATCATGAGTAACAGATGAATGGAAAAGATATTTTAGCTTCCTTGGTCAAAACATGACTAATCTGAAAATATTGTCTGCACGCAGTTTGTACCACTTGAACTATACTAGTGTGATTAAAACAGCTCAAACCCCAAACCCCAATGTGAACATAGTTATATGGTCTTGAAGGAACTGTTCAGCATCTTGAAAGATCAAACCCTTAAAATGTACTGGTCTTCATAGTGAAGCATGAGACTCACAATATATATCTCTTGATAATTCCAGTAATGGGTATGTAACCTTGCTTTATTAATAATTTAACTGTATTCAGAACTGCCTGTTTCCTCCTCCATACATCCTCAGCAATTTTCTTTCATCACACCTGTCAAAGTAGTTCCAATCCTACAGTAAAGAAAGGAAATATAGAGACACATGTTATTCATGATGGCTCAGGAGCATGGACAGAGTAACTCACTTATATAGATCAGTCATTTGTGAGTTCTCTTTGCTCATGAGAACACTACTTATTATTACAGAGCTCATCCAGCATGTTATATATAGTTTCTCCAAATCATTATTTCTGAGCAGAATTCAGTAGCTTTTATAGATACACACAGATATACTTTTCAAATTACTTTCCTGGGTGTCATTACACATCAAAACATCCCAGTGAATGACACTTAAAAGGATATCACTGGCACGTTCAACTTCGTGATTTACTTCAGTTCATCTCATATGATTCTAAAGCATCCGACATTGGACATTGCTGAGGGCAGAATACCAGGCTTGATGGCCTAATGACTTGATCTAGTATGGCAAATACTATTTTCCCATGAATAATCTGTTCCAGAGTTTAAGATAGTTTGGAACAACTTGCTGCAAAACATTATTTTTAAATGTGTCTAGATTTCTTTAAAACGATCATAAAACAATCTTTGAATAAGACCTGGTGTTTAAATAGTTGATAAAACAGAACAAATTAGCATATGAAGTATCTGTTGTAGAATGACATTTTCCAAAGATGCCATTTCCTCCTCTTAATATGCTGTTATTGCTCTGGAAAATGAGAGCAATAAATGTTGAATTGTGTCCATATTATTGCTACCCATGATTATTTAAATTATTATTCACAGTATGTATACACTTTTTTTCTCTTTATGTGGATGGTTGAATGAAACTCTAAAAACTGTAAGGTTTTTCTTTTAAATAAAATTGTGTTTACTTCTTTTTACATTTTGCTCCCCCGCTTTAACAGTTTCTGCTCAGATTATAATATTGCCTTGACAATTTCAGATACATCACCCAATCCTCCCTCTCCACTTTCTCATGCACTCCCTTCTTAATACGCTAATTTATTGCATTAATCTATTGTACACCTCTAAAGTGAAATGAAAGCAATGAATAAAATAAAGTATCAATGCTAGTTCTGTGGCTGTGGGGGAGAAAGTCCACACTTTCTATTACTTGGTTCTCAGTGGTTTCCAGAATGCAGCAAAACATCCCAGAGACAAATTCTGCCATGTGTGAGCTAAAAGAGGTGGTATTAAATTGTGACATATTAATAGCACCAGAAAATTAGATATTTTATTGTACTAAAAGTTGACGTTTTAATGGCAGTAGAAATATTAGATGCTATTGTGCTTCCCTGAAACATACACACAATATGTAATCAGCACCTTTGGGGCATGGGATGGGATTCATTCCAGTGACAGTCAGAGGAGGAGTGAGGAAAAGGGACCACAATAGACAGAGGAGTTGCTAGCTTTATCGCTGACACTGTTCAGTTCTTATCGTTCAGAAGTACTGTTCAGATCTCGTCCTTTAGGATGATGAGTTGGGCACTCCTCTTTTCTCCCCCTTGTGACCACAGTCCTGCCCAGTCCCGCTAGCAGCTCGCTGGTTTTAATGACTACCGTAGCAGTTTATAACAGCACCCAGCTTGTGGCTGACAGCCCGCTCCCCTGCACAAAGATGGGAGGGAAGCCCAGGCGGGGGCTTTTGGGACTTAGCTTCCAACAGGGACCAGAAGGGGCTTCCAAGTGGCAATGGAGGGAGCCCTGCAGCTGCCAGCGCCTCCAAGGGACATGGGGCGTGCAGATGCCTGGCTGCTCGCCTGCCGGGCTCCCCAAGCCCATGTGTAGCCGGCCCTTTGCCGAGGGGCGGGCCTCTGCAGCAGGGGGCTGCTCCTGGTTGGGCCCTCGCCGCCTGTCACTGGGCGGCGTGTCAGCGGGCGCGCGCCG